AGTATAATTAAAACTATCAATGCATCTTGCTATAGTAGGTTGACTGACTGAAATGGATTTTTGTTCAAAAAGTCTTTGTTTAATTTCCTTAAGAGTTATTCCACAATCATCATCAATCCAATTTTTGATTAGTACCTTGGATTCTTCTGTTAATTTTTTTGTTTCTAGAACCACCTTTTAATTGCCGTTCTATCGGCAAACCATTTTTATATTTTTTAATAATCGAATAGATTGTAGTTCGTTTAAATCCAAAAACATTTGCAACTTCTGATGGTGAGTTTCCATTTAAGTAAGATTCAATTATCCTTGAACGGTTTTCATTGATGAATGTTTGATTCGGCATTGCTGTTTATAAATATGATGTTTAAGCTTTTATTATGAACTCTTGTTGTATGGAATAGACAAATGCTTTTATTTACTTAATAAAAAATTATAACATTAATTTATAGTTTGATGACAATTTAATTAAGTATTGTTGGGATATTTTCCAAAGCGTAGATATTTTTTTTTGGCAATTAGACATAATTTATCCGGTCAATAAAAATAATGAATATAGCAATTAAAAACAACTATTATGGTAACTTGAAATAATTAATATCCACATTGTTTATTTTACCAATATATTTTACGTATATCCAATAAAATACTGAAACTATATTCATGAAGTCAGTACCCACTTTAAATAATGCGGAATTAAAAAAATAGGCATATTAATTATTTTATTGTCCCGATTAAATTCAACCCATTATTATTTAACAAAAATTTTTATCATAAATATAAATACTTTAATTCAAAATAGAGTGTTTATAAATTGTCGAAATGTGGTGCAACAGTGTTGAAATTGAATGCAAAAGTGTCGAAATGTAGTGATACAATGTCGAAATTGAATGCAAAAGTGTTGAAATGTAGTGATACAATGTCGAAATAAGGTGAGAAACCCTGTGTGTATATATATATATATATATATATATATATATATATATATATATATATGTATATATATATATATATATATATATATATATATAGATATATAGATATATAGATATATAGATATATATAGGTATATAGATATATAGGTATATAGATATATATAGATATATAGATATGTATGTATGTATAAACACACACACACTTATAGATCTTTAAATTGTTATCTTGTGTTTAGTTTTTTGTTGGTTGGTGGATTTTAATTGATGCTGCTGCTAATGATCCATTAAAGAAGGATGTTTATCATATCTGTGGTGTTGTATCTACTGTTGCTTTTTTCATGTAATATTTTTATTGCTTATATATATATATATATATATATATATATATATATATATATATATATATATATATATATATATATATATATATATATATATATATATATATATATATATATATTATTATTATTATTATTTTATAAACATCAATAAATACGATTTTCTCTCGATACTAAATTTATTTTTTATTTTTTAAAAGAAATTTTTGCTGGATTGTTGTGACCAGCGTCTTCAGCTTAAAAGATTTTGTTTGTTTTTGTTTATATGTTATTTTTAAATGGCAATTTTATTATATGTCAATAGAATATTTATTTAGATACATATATTTTATATATATTTAGATACATATATTTTATATTTATATTTATATATATATATATATATATATATATATATATATATATATATATATATATATATATATATATATATGTATATATATATATATATGTATATAATATATATGTGTATATATATATATATATATATATATATATGTATATATATATATATATATATAATATATATGCGTGTATATATATGTATATATATATATATATATATATATATATATATATATATATATATATATATATATATATATATATATATATGTATATATATATATATATATATATATATATATATATATATATATATATATATATATATATATATACAGTAGCTTTCATAAATTTAGACGCATTCATTTTTTTTCATATATGTAAGAAAATACTCAAAATAAAAATAAAATAAAAGTGCTACTGCTATGTTTGATATATAATTTAAAAAAGGAAGTAAAACTCTATTATAGAGTTCCTTAATTTTTTTTACAGGATGTTTATTACTCATTCTATACCGATTAACAAAAAAAAGTTAATTGATAAGCTTGATTTTATTTTGTTCATAAATTTAGACGCACAATCAAAAAAGTCTTATATTTTGTTAATTGATAGTTAATTAGCAGTTTTTTCCCATATTTCTCATTAATAGGCCTAAATTAATTGATTTTGTCAAAAAACCTTATATAAATATGACTTACCTGGAATTAGTTAATCATTATTTAATAAATAAACAAAAGTTAAGTTAGTTTTGCACTAAAAAGACATGAAAAATGGGCAAAAAACGTATCACTCAAGGTGAAAGATGGCAAATTATTGCGCACATCAAAGAAGGAACCAAAAGTAATAGAGAAATCGCCAAGTTAATTGGATTTTCTGAGAAATGCGTTTGGACAACGAAACAAAACTTTCTTCACACTGGTGGTGCCAGCGAGAAAATGAGGCCAGGTAGACCCTTATCAACCACCAGAAAGGACGACAGTGTTCGTTTTAGAGCTGTCAGAGCTAATCCAAGAATTAGTTACAAAGAATTGACCACAGAATTCAATACAAGGGGAAATACATCTATTTCTCAAAGCATAGTCCGCCGAATACTTATCAAATACAAGATTGGAGTCTACACTGCTTTGAAAAAAACCGCTTCTGCGTCCATATGATAAACAAAGGAGACTAAAATGGTGTCGTGAAAGAAGGTATTGGACAATAGAACAATGGGAAAACATTATGTGAAGTGATGAGAGTAACTTTGAGCTTATCAATCGCAAAGCTAACATAACAGTCAAAAGAATGGCTCACGAAAAGTATTACGCCAGGTACATTAGACTGACTGTACAAAGTGGAAGAGGCTCGATAGGAATCTGGTTATGCTTTAATTACAAAGGTGCTGGTATGTGCCAAACATACACCGGAAGAATCAACTCCAGAATATACGTAGAAGTACTGGAAAACAACCTAATTCCATCAATTGACCTGCTTATGCTCAATGATAAACCATGGAAACTTCAACAAGATGGCGCTACTGCACATACTGTATACTATACAAAGGAGTGGTTCAACAATAATAATATCATGGCAATACCGTGGCCTCCATATTCACCTGATTTGAACCCGATTGAAAACGTTTGGGCTTGGATTGACCGTGAATTAGCAAAGGTTCAAATTTCCACACTTGGTCAGCTGAAGGAATTCCTTAAGGAGACCTGGTATGAGGTCCTAGAAGCGATGTGCAAAAATCTTGTTGAGTCTATGCCTAGAAGAGTTCTTAGTTGTATTAAAGCAAAAAGCGGATACACAAAATATTGATTGGTTCATAAATTACCCCTTCTAATGTATCGTGCGTCTAAATTTATGAATAATTTTTTTTGTCTAATTTTTTTAATACCATGTAGTTGTACCTAATTATTACTTAGTATTTCTTTTTTTTTTGTAAACTTTTTTTAAATTTTGTATTCTGTATGTATTTATCTAATAAATAGAAAAAAAATAAACCGAAATCTTTTTTCGTCATTGTTTTATCGTTAAAAAACTAAAAATTTCTATTCTCAAATATGAGTGCGTCTAAATTTATGAAAACCACTGTATATATATATATATATATATATATATATATATATATATATATATATATATATATATATATATATATATATATATATATATATATATATATATATATATATATATATATATATATATATATATATATATATATATATATATATATATATATATATATATATATATATATATATATAGCCAATCTCTTATCAAAAGAAGCAAAAATATTTTATTCTTTGTTCCTCTTATCCAATTCTATCAAACATAAGATGTGAAAATTCATCAATCAACAGAGCAATGGAAGAAAGATTTTCACTATTTTTGTTTCCCATTTTTGTTTTATCTTTTATATCTATTTTGATTTGTTTTTAGTATTATACCAAGTTGAAATCAGCATTTTAAAAGTTAGAATTACTTTTGCAAGGTTTGCTTTCTCCTCAAATGACAAATCTTCATTCAACAAAGCAAGAGGAATCATTATTGAATCTAAATACCAACTATGTTTGTATATAGAGTTTAAAACTGCATCTACAGCATCTGATTTGGCACAAATTTTTTGGTACTGTTGCATTTAGTGTATTGCTTTTATATCAAAAAAGGGAGCTCTAATAGCATCATCAGCCTGTAATTACCATTTGTTATAAAAGCAAATTGTAAATTTACTTATTAGCCTGATTTCTGTCTTTAGTTTATTGTTCTGATTTACGAACTCAATTTGGCTGGATAGAAGCTGTAGCTTTGGATAGGAATCTAGCTTGATGAACTGCTCCAGGTTTTCTTAGTGATACTGAAGACGGAGAAAGGTAACTCTGCAAGCTCCTTTCCATTTTCTCCGATAAAATCTTTATTTTATTTTCCCTTTATAATGTATTCTTGACTTTAAGGTTGTATTCCTTAAGAAGGTACATTACACCATTGCACTGATTTTCACTAGAGGATAAGGCTAAAAGAGGTACTCCAAACAGGTGTGTCTCACCTTCAATATTCACAAGTCCAGCTAGTCTAATTGTTTTTACTTTGTTTAGTTTAATTAATGTTTTGTCATCAAAATGTACTATGCATGGGTACGAAGATTCATTCATTGCTTGTTGAACATCTTCTTTTTGATATCATACATATATTACGATTGGCGTATTTCATTTTCCTAACTGCTGTAGGCTGGCTACTTAAAAATCTGTCAGATCAGCTCCTGATTGAATTGCAATTGCTCCTGTAACATTATACAAAACACTTGGAGAAATATCACTGATTGTAGCTAGAAGAGCTACATTACCAGTAACAACCTCTATGGGAATTTCAGCAGTGACTTTTTGTTGAAAAGGTTTTTTTTCAAACCACTCCCCAGGAATAAAATCAGAATCACGCGATGAGTCCCCACTAGTGTCTGTATCAATCTCAACATTAGTTGTACCTTCTAATTCTTTATATTGTTGTTTCACGCGCTGCTTTCTCTTTCTGCTACTCACTGTAGGCTAAAAATGTTAAAGTAGTTTAATAATTAATAATTTAATTTAATTACATGAGATATTGAATAGTGAGTGAACATTGTTGTTTTGGTTCTCCAGAAACTCCAAATCTTCAAGATTGTCTGAATCAGATCTTTTTTTGTCATTTTTAATTGTATTTCTAAGATCAGGAATGCCAGCCCAAAATATTTTGTTAAGGTAAACTTTAAACTCTTGTTGCTGTGCCATATATACATTGTCCAGGTTTGAAAGATTTTTCAATAGACTTTAATTGTTTAGTATAGAAAATCCAGCTTTAATCCATGGCTCTTTAACTTTGGTCACACCTTTTGTGACTTCACACTCTTTAACTTTGGTCACCATCTTTCTAATTCACATCTTTAAATTTTTTTTTGAGGAGGACGAGCCAGAATAGTGGCTTTTTTTTATGTTTTTGGCAAAAATGATTGTTTGTAAGCTAAGTGCTGCAGTATCTGACAGCCTTAATTACAAAAAAGAAGAAATAAAAAGTTTAGCTAAAGTTTTTAGCTCAAGGGATTCATTATAAAACTAATTATTACCTTTTATTGCTGGTATCGCTTCTTTGATAGTGAATAGTTTTTTTAAGACCTTATTGTTCTTTCACTTTCTGTTTTCTGACCACGTTCTTCTTCTTTATACATATTTAAATAAATTATTTTAATTTTTACTAATCTAAAAATTCAAATTTAATATAATTATTGTAAAACAATTTACTACTGCAAGAAATAGAACTGTTGAAGTGCTTTTTGAGCTGCTATAGCTGGGTCTCATCAAATTCCTACCTCATAGAAATTATTAAATTTTATTGTAGATTCACCTTAATAATTAAAAAAATTAGAATTAAATAATCTGGACAATTAGTTATAATCTTTTTTTAGTAACATAAATGCGTTAAGTATATAATCATATATTGTAATTTTTTCAAAAATACAAAATAAAAATATTTTTTGAAAAAAAACTATGAGAAAATATATTTTTACTCAAATATATAGGTAAAAATAAACAACCTAGAAAAAAAATTTCAAATTTTTGTAATTAAATTTCTCCCTAGACCTGTGAAATTAGAGATTTTTAAAGGTTTTTGAGAATTTTTTTTCTAAAAAAGTGCTTAGGAGGGGGAGGGGGTAAGGATTGAGTGGTCCTGTTGAGTTTAAATTTTTTAGGAGTTGTTTTTTTAATATTTTCCCTAAATCTAGAATGTATGATATTTTAGATATGAAAATTTCCTTAAATTGACTACCTCTAATGTAGGTATTAGAGTCTCAAATCAAAGCCATTAATATTTGTAATAATAATTTGATGGGTAACCATAGTTACTTATGTTTAATATTTTTTGATACTATAATCATGATTTAATTATAAAAAAATTAAGGAGAACTTGACACATTACATAGATCATACTTAGAACCTTTAAAAATTATTAGAGAGAACTTGACATATTACATGGGTAGTATTTGACACCTTAAAAAATATTAGAATGAACTTGACATATTACATAAGTACTTAGAAGTACTAAGTAGTACTTAGAAACCTTAAAAATAAGCCATGCAGTTGCCTTATTCCTACTAACCCATATTTGAAACGAAGGATTACTTACGTAGCTTAACAATGCACACAAAAAGCAGTAACAAAAGCACTATCCATGTTCAGCATGAAACTCCAATATTTTACAGGTGTTAATAGAATCTGCCTTTCTGAGAGCTACCATAGAGTTTGGGAAACCTTACTACCATCCAGTTTCAAAACTGTTAAACTGAGTTTTAGAGCTATACCCTCATTAGGAAATAATAGAAAGATTTACAAATCCACTACCTAAGGCACAAACATAAACCCACAAGTCAAAAAGATTCAGCTTTTATTATATTATGTAGATGGCATTGCGCTAGCCTATTAGATGAAATAAAGGATGTAAAGCTGCTGGTCAGTAGAAGTTTTCTGTTTTACTCTTTTAATAGTAGGATGCAATTTAAAAACAATAGTTATGCAGATTCATCTGTTCTAGATAAGTATTTTTATTAAGATGCCATTTCTTGCCTTAACTCAACCATAAGCTCCAGGGCAAGAGAATATTTTAGATCAAAGTTAATTTCTCTAAGCCTTTGCCTAAAAAAGCAAGTTCTCCAAAGCAGCTGGACATGTGTCAGGCTATATTATTTCAAATTTAAAATGATGGGACTAATCTTGAACATTTTAAAATTGTTATTTTTTATTTTATTTTTTTTTTAAACCTTTGCTTCCAACAAGGCTGCAACAACCACTAATTAGTGTTGGAAGTTACTGGAAGAGAAAAGATAAAGATTGTAGATTTAAGATTGCAAATTATATGAATCAGGAAAGCAAGATGAAGGAAGCGAATTCCAAAGAACTGATGTTCAAGGGAAAAAACTAGACGAATAAGAGTTTTTGGAGCACTTAGGAACAGTAACAGAAAAAGAATGAGACTTAATTGAATGACGAGTAACACGAGAATGAATTTTAGTAGATGGCACAAGAGACGCTAGCTTTTTAGAGCAGTGCCCATTATAGTATAAATATAGGAATATCTAAACTATTGCAATAATGATTGGCTGAAAAAAATTGAGTTTTATCTGAATTAAAGTTCATCAGCCACTGTGAGCCCCATGCTGTAGCAGAAGTGAGATCCTTTTCATGTTCAAAAGCCCCCTGCAAGCAATCAGAGGGAGTTGGCTTCTTATCGTGACAAGAATAAATGGTAGTATCATCAGCGAACAATGCCACCTTAGATGTGAGAATATCTGAAAGATCGTTAATGTAAATTAAAAAAAGTATAGGGCCAAGATTTGAACCTTGAGGAACCCCTGAAGTTACAGAATAAGAAGAAGAGTGCTGTCCATCAAGGACAACTTTTATACTATGATTGGAAAGGAAGGATTCAAAAATCTTAAAGATGTTTCCAGATACACTGTAAGAAGAAAGCTTATGGAGAAGACCACCATGCCAAACTTTATCAAACGCATTAGAAATGTCAAGAGCAATGGCCTTAACCTCTCCACCTTTATCTAATACGCGATAAAAATCAGCTGTAAAACAAAAAGATCAAAATCCATATTGATGATCAGAAAGTAAGTTATTAGATTCAAGATGAGAAATTAAGTGTTTGTAAATTAAAGATTCAAAAACCTTGCTTATGATAGGAAGAAGACTAATGGGACGGCATTTAGACGAATCCGAACGTTCTCCAGAATTTTTGAAAATAGGGATAACAGATGCTGCTTTCCAGCAGGCTGGAAAACAAGACTCTGATAAGCACTTGTTGAATAGCTTTGAAAGGATAGACGACAGCTCCAGAGAACACTTCTGCAAGACTATAACAGGTATGATGTCTGGGCCAAAAGCTGTAGAAGAGTCTAAGCTGGAAATCACTTTAGATACAGAAGCTGGAAAGAGCCCCAATCAGCTTTAAAGTAGTTTTAAGATGTGCGATGATAGGGGGAGTCTGTTGATAAAGAAGAACGAGATAATAGTTTTAGAGAGATTAAACTGTGATCAGAGGCACCTAAAGGTGAATGTCGAGAAACTGAGCACTGACTAGGATCAGAAACAAGACACAAGTTGAGTAGAGAAGGTAAATGATTCGGGTTGTCTGGAAAGCGAGTTGGAAAGTTGACTATTTGAGTTAGGGATTGAGAAAGGCAAAAGTTGTGGGCTTTAATGCCTGCAGACTCACTGACATTAGAGCCAAGCCATTCAGTGTGATGAACATTAAAGTCACCGACAACAACAATATTGGCTGATGGATAAAGAGAAAGGGCTTGGTCAATTTGATCATAAATAACATCAAGAAGAGTGCAGTCTTTAGATGAAGGAGAGCGATATAGAACAAAGAGAAAGGTGATAGAATGAAGTGGTGCTAAACGAAAGCACATAAAAGAGTAATCTGTGGATTCAAACCATAGTTTCCCGACAAATGGGTAAATTCTTACGAATGTAAATGCCTAGGCCAAGCATGTGACTATTAGAGTCTTTACGAATTAAAGGAAGATAACCATCAACACTAAGATCACAAGATGAGACAGCTGAACTCAAATTAGTCTCACAAAGAGCAAGTAGGTCTGGTGAACTTTGCAAGAGATAAAACTCAACAGAAGAAAAGTTACTTTGAAGACCACAAATATTAGTGAGTGATAGATTTAGCAAACTTGGTGATAACTGTGGTTTTTTGCGTTTTACAGTTTTTGTTACTTTATTCATTTTTAAATTTGTTAAAAAACTTGACTCAAAACATAGATAGTACTCAGTACACCATTTAATAGCCCAAGCAGTTGCCTCATTACTATTAGTAAACCCTAAACCGTAACAAAGGGCTTCGATGTGGCCTTGGCAATGCACAACAAAAATGCAAACAGGGACACCATCCATGCGCAACATGGCTCTGTTAGTACTTTGATATTTTACAGCTGTTGATAGAATCAGCCTCTCTGAGAGCTACCATAGAGTTCAGGAAACCTTACTACCAGCTGGCCTCAGAACCATAAAACTAAGTTTTAGAGCTGTACCCTCATTAGTATGAGTTGCCTAGTCATAAAAACAGAGGCACAAGCAAAACCCATGCATTGAGTCAAGAAGATCCAGCATTCAACATCCTAAACTGGAAACAATGTATTAAAAATACACCTGCGCCAGCCTAATAGATGAAGAAGGGGTGTGAGGCTGGTCAACAGATAGAGTCTGTTTACCCCTTAAATATATATATATATATATATATATATATATAAGTTTAATATATATTTAATATATATTAAGTCATTTGCATAAACAAAAACATGATACTTTTAATTAACACTTCCTGTTTTAAAAGACATTAGCAATGGTAACTAATAGCAACAATACCTTAATTGATTAAAAATTATACTTTTTCACATAATTTTTTTTTTTTTGCATAACAGCACTTAAACTAGCACTACTGATGAAACATTGAAAGGCCTCTAGTGTTATATATATTTATATATATATATATATATATATATATATATATATATATATATATATGTATATATATATATATACATATGTATATATATATATATATATATATATATATATATATTATATATATATATATATATATATATATATATATATATATATATATATATATATATATATATATATATATATATATATACATATGTATATATATATATATATATATATATATATATATATATATATATATATATATATATATATATATATATATATATATATATATATATATATATATATATATATGTATATATATATATATTCCATGTTATTATTGATTGTATAAGTTATCAATCATTTAATTTTTTCCATGTTTTTCAATATTATGGAACGTTATAATATTATTTGTATATTACACATTCCATGTTTTCATGTTGCTTGACAGTCTTTCAATAATTTGTTTCTGCTATAAATACTTTTTTTATTTTTAAAAATTTCTCATTTTTAAAAACTTGTTAATAATATTTCAGGTTTTTGAAGATTTTTTATTATTATTTTGATTTTAAATGTTCCATAGCTTATAATTAGTTTTGATGTATTAGATATTATAATAGGAATGCATAAAATAAAATAAAAAGTTTTTTTTTTATTAAGTATTGGGTCCTGAAAAGTGCACTCAATTTTGAAAATTTTTATTTTAGGATAAATGCTGTTTCAAATGCTCAAATACGAGGAGAAACATTTGATTCTGGTTGCCTTGGACAGACAGGTGTGTTTAAAATGCTTATCATTATTTGTTTTTGATCTGGCAAAATCTTTTTTTTTTAAATAATCCAGTTATCTTAATTATATTTGTAATTTTAGTAACAAGAAAAATAAATTTCAATTTGTCTCTTTCAATTTCCAGGAGCTCGGATTTGGGCTTTAATTGGATTTATGCTTGGTTTTGGAGGTCTCATTGCAGCATGTTGGATTTTATTTGGTGCATATGTTGCATCAGGTATTTTGTTTATTTTTTTGAGCATAATTTAATGTTATTTATTAGTACAACGTACTATATTGTATGATTGTATTATTATTATGATTACATATATTATTTTATTAGTACTATATACTAGTATTTTATTATTGTATTATTAGTCACCTTTTCAAAAAAATCAAGTTATTGATAACAACGATAGATATTGATAACAATAGAGGGGTTAGAGTGTGCTCTGGAGTTTTTGCAAGTTGGATTCACATATGTAATTTCTCAGCAGGCATGAAAAAACAATTCCTTTTTAAAAGTTAAATTAATCTAAAATCAGCAAAAATAATATATTTTATACTGGCGATGTAAAATCTATTCTGTTTGCAGTTAAATACTAAAGAAAAAAAAAAGTAAATTAAATAAGAATGTTTTTTCTAAGTATGGCATTTTTCAGCTCAATTTTGAGTCTAGTGAACTAGCTATAAATTAAAAAATCTGTTTAAACAAATGCATTAAGAAGAGACTTATTGGAATAAGTAAATAATAGACTTCCATTATAATTAAAATAGTGCATATGCATTTAACATCATCTTGCTATGCATAAAGAAGGGAATATATTGTGAAAGCTGATAACTATGAATACTTGCCAGAATGTTGCCCTTAAAAAAATTTTGGAGTATTTTGAAAGTTATTAATTACAAGTATAATTGACAAGCAGATAGCAAATACATTCTAGAATCAAGTATTTCCATAAAAAGTTGATATTGAGCTCGTTCATTGTTTAGCTTTCGCCTTCAGTGGCTTCTGGTTTCTATTGGTGGCTGTGGCCAGAATTTTTTTTTTACCAAAGTAAAAGGAATGAAAATCGACCACCTTTTATTGTTGTCTTAAAAGATAAACATGAAAGTAATAAAGTTTTAAAGTCATCAAAAGTATTAAAAGATGACGACTCGTTCTCGAAAGTATTCATAAATCCTGATCTTACAGAAGCAGAAAGACATAAATCAAAACTCTTAAGAGAAGAATGTCGCCGAATGAACACTGAAAGAAAACAAAGAAATGAAAATAATTATTATTTCAGTATCAGATATGATCGAGTAGTGAAAAATCACTGTATAGCAATTACCAAAAAATTATAAGATTAACAAAATCGATTATCAAAAATCAACGAAAAGGAACAAAAAAACCATCAATAAAGTATTTTAAAAAATAAATTATTTCAAATAAGTCAAAATCAATTAAGTCAATAAACGTATTATCTGAAAATACAAAAAAAAAAAACAATTAATAATAACAATTTCTTATCATGTTGGTATACAAATGCTACATCATTAAATTGTAAATACAATGAATTTATTGCTGAAATAGTCACATCTCACCCACAGATACTTTTTATCAGTGAAACATGGTTTAATGAAATGTCATTAAGTAATGTTCCCGGTTATAATATATTTCGCAAAGATCGAATAAGTAAACGAGGAGGGGGAGTATGCATATATGTCAAAGAAAATGTTAAATCTGTTACAGTTTCTGATAAAATGTTAAATGATGACGACTTAGAGCAAGTTTGGACATCATTGCATATTGGCAATGAAAAGATACTTTGCGGATGTATTTATAGGCCAGGCACAATTGACTATGAACTTAATCTAAAAATAATAAATTCAATTAAACGAAGTTACAATCTATTGATAAAAAGTAAGTATTCCGGACTATTGATATGTGGAGATTTAAACTACTTTTCTATTAAATGGAATAAAGAAAGCATTAGCGAACTTATTAATAATTCAGATATTTCTGCTAAAAAGTTCTTAAAATGTTTAAATGATTGTTTCATAACACAAAACATAATTAAACCAAGTTTTCAAATTAATGAATTTAAATCCACTAATGTTCTTGACCTAATATTAACAGAATCAAACAAAAGAATAATTGATTTGAACCATTTTGATAATTTGGGTGCACTTAATCACGGTCATCAAATCCTAATGTTTTTATATAGCTTTAAAAATAATTAAAAAAAATGGAAACAGTAAAAAAAAGTATAACTCTGTACAAACACAGCAGTTATAATGGCTTTTCCGATATGTTAAATAGCTATGACTGGCATCTTGAATTCAGAAATTTAGATGTTAATGTTTCATACAACAAATTTGTCGATATTTATAATAAAGGACTTATATATTTCATTCCAAGAATTACAAAGGGAGTTGTTAAAACAAAAGCGCCTTGGATGAACTCTAACTTAAAAAAGCTAATTAGAAAGAAAAGTAACCTCTGGAGAAAATGTTTACATAATCGTTTTTTAAACAAAGGATATGTATTAAAATACAAATCAATTAAAAATAAAGTAAAAAAATAAATTAAAAAATAAATTAAATTATATGAAACTACCATCGCCTTAAACATTAAAAAAAAACCAAAAGCAATTTATGCATATATAAACAAAAAATCAAAAGTTAAAGAAGAAATTAACGCCTTAAATGTAAACGGCAAACTTGAAACAAATTATTTATCAATAGCACATACTTTAAATAACTAATTTAGCTCTGTTTTCACAAATGAAGTTAGTGACAATATACCATTCTTTAAAAATAGGACAAACATTTGTGAGGACCCTACATTTCATTGGACACAGGAGTAGATAGAGTTCACCCATTTCCTTTAAAATGTTGCGCAGATGCGTTCTCCCTTCCTTTATCACTTATTTTTTATAAATCGTATGACACAGGAATAATTCCATAGATGTGGTTAAATGCTAATTTAACACCATTATTTAAAAGTGGAGATAAATTGGATCCATCGAGTTATAAACCAGTATCACTTACTTCAGTTATAAGTAAAGTAATGAAACGTATCTTAAAAGCTACGTTTATGTCGCACATAGAAAATAACAATCTCTTGACTAAGGAACAGCATGGATTTTCTAAAAAAAAAAACTTGTACAAACCTTATAGAATCTATGGATCTAATTACTCAAGCAATGGAAGATAATTTACCAGTTGATATTATTTTCCTGGATATGAAAAAAGGTTATGGCTCTGTGCCTCACAATACATCGTGTCTTAAACTAAAAAGTTATGGTTTTAACTATAAAGCAGTTAGATGGTGCAAAAATTTTGTATGTAACAGAGTGCAACGTGTTGTCTGCAACAGCGAATTTTCAAATTGGTCTCCAGTTACAAGTGGAGTACCGCAAGGGTCTGTCTTGGGTCGGTTTATGTTTATTGTTTATATAAACGACTTACCGAATGAGTTATCAACAAACTGTAAAATGTATGCTGATGATATTAAACTAATTAACATAGTTAGATCATCTTCTGATATAGAAAAGACTCAAACAGATCTAAACAAATTAATGACATGGTCACAATTATGGCTATTAAAGTTTAATGTCAACAAATGTAAACGCATGCATATAGGTAGCAAAAATACTAAGCATATATACACAATGTATGATTCAGTGTTAAATAGAGTTGAGCTATTAAAAACCAAAATTGAAAAAGATTTAGGAGTTATGATTTCAAACAACTTAAAATGGTCAATTCAAGTTAATTATGTGTTTGGTAAAGCTAATAAAATGTTAGGAATAATAAAACATTCATTTAAAAACTTAGACATTAACGCATCTAAATTATTGTACACCTCTCTTGTAAGACCGTATCTAGACTACGCAAATTCAGTGTGGTATCCTTACTTAGAACAAGATAAAAAAAAAATTGAATCGATACAAGGTAAAGCAACACAAATAAAATGTCTTCAAGGGGAAAACTATAAAAGTTGACTAACCTACTTTAAATTAACAAATCTTGAAAAAAGACGCAAACGTAATGACCTAATCCAACTTTACAAAATAGTAAAAAAAATAATTTAACATTGGAATACCCACCAGATTTAATAGCTTCAAATACAAGAGGTCACAATATGAGGTTTCATAGGCAATTAACTAAAAATCCAAAGAGATACTATTTCTTAACAAACCGTGTTATTAACAGCTGGAATTATTAGATAACTTAGATCAAAACATTGTAGATTCTAAAACACTTAAACAATTTAAATCAAAGTTAAACTTATTTTTAACATAAATCGGCTGTTAAAGCCTAGATCAACTAGGCTCCGTACATTGTCATTGTACATATACACAGTTATTATTAAATAAATAAATATATACTATTTTTGCAAATACAGTAAAAAAGCTTCGAAAATAGCTGAAGTAATTAGGATATATTTGATGTAGAAAGTAATAAAACAATGTAAAATAGTTTTACAGTTTATATTTTGAAAAGACAAAATTTTTTTTATTTTTTTATTTTTTCCTTTTTTAAGTCTTAAAAAAGGAAAAAATAAAAAAATAAAAAAAATGCTTTAGAGACCATTAGTGGCTACCTTAAGAAAAATTGGAGGCAAAATGATTTAGAGGTTCCTCCAGTGGCTGCTGCCTCTAGTGCCTACTGCCTCTAGTGCCTACTGCCTTCCAATTGTCTATGTTTAAACTTTTAAACGTTTTAACTTTTAAACATTTTAAATGTTTTAAACGTTTTAAACATTTTAAATATTTTAAACATTTAAATGTTTTGAACATTTTAAACATTTTGAACGTTTTAAACATTTTAAACATTTTAAACGTTTAATCATTTTAAACGTTTTAAACATTTTAAACATTTTAAACGTTTTTAATATTTTGAATGTTTTAAATATTTTAAACGTTTTAAATATTTTAAACGTTTTAAATATTTTAAACGTTTTAAATATTTTAAACGTTTTAAACATTTAAATGTTTTAAACATTTTAAATGTTTTAAACATTTAAATGTTTAAAAGAAGTCAATACTTATGTTTTAAAGGTTATGAATTTTGTTACATTTTTTATTTTTATTATTTTTTATATTTTTTTTATTTTTGTGTAATAATTTGTCAAAATTATTAGCAAAATAAAATATTGTCACAAATTTTTAATGAATATTAAAAAATATTTTTTTAATAACTTTTATAATATTTACTTACTAAAAATAAGAATATTATGGAAAATATATAAAATAATAAATAAATCAGAAAAAATTTAGGATGTTGACTTGCTCAAAACTCAGATTTAAGTTTGACAGTTTAATTGCATGTTTAGATTTCTTCTGGAGGCGGCCACCAATGGTTTCCACCTCTTTATTGGCCCTGCTCTTCAAAACATTTTGCCTCTAAAACAAATCTTTTGCTGGAGACGTCAATTGAAAGGCAGAAGCCACGGGAGGTAGAAGCCAGAACATTTCGGTTTCAACATTTTTATGGCTGCCAATAGCTTCTGCCTCTCGAAAAAGTTGGCCATTTGGCAGAATGTTACTTTTGCTGCCGGAAGGCATTAACATTTTTGGAATAACCAAAATGGGAAATTCTTTTTTTTTTTTAGAAAAGGCTATAACAAACATTCACATTAAACCTCACTAGTCTGTTTTATCACATATCTTTTCTAAAAAAATTGTATATTATTTTAGATGATCCAAACACTTGGCCTGGTGTTGCTGTTTTTCTACAAAATGCTTTCATTTTTTTCAGGTATGGAATTTTTTAGTTGTTTATAAATGAAATATATGTTGCTAATATATATATATATATATATATATATATATATATATATATATATATATATATATATATATATATATATATATATATATATATATATATATATATATATATATATATATATATATATATATATATATATATATATATATATATATATATATATATATATATATATATATATATATATATATATATATATATATATATATATATATATATATATATATATATATATATATAAAGGGGTGTGGAGTTGTAAAAAAAAAATACAGATTCCAGTCGTTGAAATTTTCAGAGTATGACTCTGACTCCAAAGCAAAATTTTTGAAAAATTCTTTGATTTGTTAAAAAAACATTACGTGATAATTAAAAAATTTTTTTTGCCAAATATAGAAAAAGTTCTTTGAAGGTAAATATTTTGTACATGCACGTGCAATACTGAGAAGTTTTACTATTGGTGTTGGAGTCGCGATTTTATTTGAAAAATGTTGCAACTCTGACTCCACAAATCTGATTCCACAGCCTTATTCCAACCATGTTATATAACATATATATATATATATATATATATATATATATATATATATATATATACACACACACACACACACACACACTGTATAGGTATTACACCTCTAAAAAATGTGACAAAAACATTGGCCATTGCATTGCAAATCAAAAGTTTCTTGCAGAAACACTAGACAATATCACAAAAAACCATAACAATTCAATATTGTATATAAACATGATACAAGAAAAATTTCTGAAATTTGCAGAGTTTCAAAGCCAAACTTCTTGGTTGTTTTGTTCATTTAAGACATGTTTACTTAGAGAAATTGAAATATTAAAGGTTATGAAATATTAAAAGTTAAAGTTTAATTATATGGAAAAATGGAAATATTTAATTTTATGTATGTTACATCCCATATGTTTAGATCAATGATCGAAGTGCCTGATAAACTGAAACAAGCATACATGGCTCTGTTGCCTTTTTTTTTTAAAAATTTAAAGACTTACTAAAGCTAAACATTTTCTGAATGGACAAAAAAAATAATTTGATCTTATTTTATTTTCTTTTTTTTTTAATTTATTTTATTTATCATTGAATAAGTGATGGAACACAGACATCATGGAATCATCTGTGGTAAATAGATGAGGTTGCAATGCTATTTTGTATAAAGTTAAAAAAAAACTTTCATATAATATTTTGTTTGAATTTTGGCTTGAATTTTGAGGATGGCTTTATCATCCCATCACACACTTAGTACGTTGTAGTTGTATATTACAATGTGTTACCATCTACCTTTAAAGAAGTAAGTTTTGCATCTAGCTGCATGCTGATCAAGGCTACAATAAGAATCTGAGTTTATCGTTTTACCAGTTTAAAGGTAATCCACGAACAAAATTCTTTTTGCATCCCAAAAAACTGATGCTAACATCTTCTCGGCCGGTCTCTGGACCTCAACTCGCTTTGCAGCCTATGTACCAGGTTCACACCACTCCTTAGCCTCTTTTTTTGATTCAGAATCATGATGTTAGACCCGAGTCTCATCCATAGTAATGAAACCACTCATAAAATCCTTTTTAACCTTTCTTAAAGGCTCCAAATATTTCTGAGAAAGTCACATTCGAATGTGTTCCATCATTAGCGAATGCGGTACCTATTGTGCACGCAGTTTTTTGAAACCCAAAACTTCAGCCAAAATATTGTTCACACTACCTAATAAGATGCTTCGAGCTTCTACTAAATCTCTCTAAGTTCAACGACGATCTTCCAAAAACATATCTTGTATTTTTGCTACAAATTCTGTTGATACACTTTTTTGACGTCCTTTACGTGGATCATTTTCAAGACTTGTACGACCATGTTTAAACTCAGCATCCCATCTTTCCATTGTTCTAATTGAAGATGAAGAGTCTTTTTACACTTTTAACATTCATGAATTTGTTTTGGTGCTACATTTTCCACAAATAAGAATTTTATTACTCCACGATGTTAATTTTTTTCCATGGTAAAAAAATACTGTGAGTTATCAACTTTTAACATCTGTAAATATACAAATAAATTAACAGATCTATGTGAAATTTCACACGTGTTCATAAAAAAGTAGCAGCAATTTTAGAAAAACAAAACGACGAACCTAACAGTCCCATCTCTAACTACAAACAAACGACATGGAACTCTAACTACATCAGCTAAATCGAACTCTAACTACATCGAACGACAAAACTTATTGAACAACCTGGTATATATTAGGAAAAAAGTATAGAAAAGGTCGGTGTGCAGTAGACTTAAAATGACCTGTATATTTGTGGGTCCGGTCAACTAATATAATATAATAGCTTATAAATAATGTTTAAGGTGGTAGTACACCAATAATAGTGTACAAAAATTTTTTTTTTTCCTTTTATTATTTAACCAATATAATCATTGCAGATTTTGAACTTTTAGTTGATTTAATTAAATAAAAAAATCTTCACATGTTAAAACTTGTTTATAATGTATCGGTATAAAATGTTTTTTATTTTCCCCTCTAGCAACGTTTTGTTTGTTCCTTGTTATGCGTTTCAGAAACAAGTTAAACCATAAAAATGCCATAAAATACTTACCTAGTCAACTTTTTTAAATGCAAAGTTGTAGATTGCAGCGACTTCTTGTTAATTAGTTTAGTATGATGGGTTTATTGACGTAATTCACTTCTTGTTTCAAGCCGCATTCAAACTTTATTATTTATGCTATAGTATATCTTTCATCTTTTTAAAATAAAAATAATATGGGTGGATCAAAGAGAAAACAATTATCAAGCAGAATATATACAATAATAAAAAAGCAAAATTTTGTGGAAACAGATATGCAAAGATTTCTTCTTCAGAAACGAAAACTTTATCTTTTGTTGAGTCGGCTACATATTATGCTTCTTCAAAAAAGTCAAATATTGCTGATAGAGATTTTCAAGATTTTCAAAGTAAAGATTTTAACTTTATTATGAACTTTAGTCTGTTGGAAAACATTATATCGCTACTAAAATGCCCAAATTTGTGTGAAATAATGTTTATTTAATGTTTGATTTCTCAAAATTGTATGGTTCAAGTATTGGTTTAAAAATGTTGTATCAGTTGCAAATGGAAAACTGAATTTTTTGTTATCTGCTACATTTAAAAAAAAAAATTTAATCGAACAACAAGAGCCTAGTAAAAGCAAATGTAGTGGACAAATTTCATTTGATATTAACACATGTGTCATTGTGGCTTTTCGTTTAATTGGTAAAGGGTTATCGTCATTAGAAAAATTTTGTTGAATAATGAATATGAAGCCACCTATGAAGGAAAACAGCTTCAATAAAACTTTACATAACCTGTTAGATGTTTATCAAAATTTAGTTGAGCACTTAAAAAATGCTGCAGGTGAAACATCTAGAGACATTATGTGCAGCTTTGATGATTTATGGCAAAAGCGTGGTTTTACTTCAAATAACAGAGTTGTTTCTGCAATTTTAGTTGAAAGTGGTAAATATTGACTTTCAAATAGAAACAAAAATATGCATATTATGTTCAATATGGAAAAAGATACGTATCCAGTTGAATATGAAAAGTTCCAGTCATCAAATTACTAAAAGTGTAAAATTAGTCATACTGGATCATCATCGGCTATGGAATCAAGTGGTGTTTTAAAACTTTTTCATCGTTCTGAAACGAAAAACAATTTTAGGTTGGAACGCGTTTAAGAAACTTAAAAAAAATCAGCAAAGAAATTTAAGTGATGGTAAAAAACTAAGAGGAACAGTTCGTTTGACAGAAAATGCTATTAATACATTGCAGAATTACTATGGCAAAGCAATCAGACAGAGCATTGGTAGCTTATATGCAATGAAAAAAAGTGTAGTAGCTGTTCTTTTTCACTGTTCTGAAAGTTATGAAAATCTACTTTTGTGAATGATTTAATGTTTTCAAATAACACCATAACTTCTAAATATGAATAAAATGCATATATTTTGACTTTTTTTGGTCAAAATCTAAAATTTTTAGTGTATGTTGTAATTGCATAAGTAAAGGATCTCAAGCTAAAATTTCAGTGCAAATTTATTTACGGTTGCTGAAAAAACCCTGGCGCCTTTTATTCATTTTTAGGCTTTTGTCCATCAATCATTATGCGCATAATTAATTTTTTGAAATTTAAAAATTTTTAATTTTAAAAATTGAAAAAAAAGTTGAAATGCAAAATTTTTTTTTTTAATGGTATACAACCACCTTAATTTGAAATAGCAAATGTAAAAACATACGCAAAGAGTACAGTAAAATAAAAATTTTTTTGGAGAACTTTTAAAAAACATCAACTATGTTTTAATTTTTTAATGTGGCATTTTTAGTGCGCTTATATTCAAGTTTGGCCGTTCTGAAGAGGAATTTTAAATTGCGTTCTTTACAGTCGTAACAACTAAGCACGTTGCTATGGATCATTAACAGTTAGGAAGACGTAAAAGATTTTCATTGGAGCGTTTGAATTTTTAAAAGTAATATTTGTAATTTTTTTTGTCTAACCTTTAATTTATTATCTAAATAATTTATTTATTTTCTTTTTTTCTTCTTTATTATTATTATTATTTGTATATATATTTTTTACTAAAGTAATTGTTTTTTTCAGTCATGAGTTAATTTCTTTTATACTTATCTTATCTTGTTCAAGCTTTTTTTTATCATATATTTATTTCGATTTTTTTAAGTTTAGTTTAAAAATATTCATATTTAAACGTTAGCTAAATGATGTAATTCGTTGAGAATTTATGAAATTATTTCGTGTAATATTTAAAATTTATTTGTCTTTATCAAAGAATAAAATAAATGACCAGAAACAAATGTCCAGAAATGTACGGCATTTTTCAAACTTTAAACGTTAAATGTTTATACTGGTGTTATATGGTTTATATATATATATATATATATATATATATATATATATATATATATATATATATATATATATATATATATATATATATATATATATATATATATATATACGCACATTAGTAAAAAATCACTTATCAAACTTTTTTCATTTTACACTGAGTTCAATAAATGGAGACTCATTAGAAAAAAATGACATTTTCAGAAATAATTTATTTATATATATATATATATATATATATATATATATATATATATATATATATATATATATATATATATATATATATATATATATAGAGTTGCAACCCCAAAAAAAACGGTGTGTTTTTTTTAAAAAAAACACGTTTTTTTTGCAAAAAAAACAGACTGGTTCTAAAAACATGTTTTTTATAGTTTTTTTTGCTTTTTTTTTAGTATTCATTAAATTTTAGATAATAATAATACTTGAAACAGTTCCAGTGCCCTTAAACCTACAAAATACAAATGTTTTCTATTTAATAAAATGCATATTAACTTATATAATAGCTGTTACAAACTAATCACCAATATTAAAAAAAAGCAGTATTAAATATTTAAAAAAGTAATTTTTTAAATAAATCTCAAAAAAACTATACTATTAGCTACTAGTTGATTGTAAATATAATACTACTGAATGAAGGAAATAAAAATGTTATTTTAGCAGTGTTATTTCATTCATAAAAATGAATGAAATAACACTGCATTGCAAAATACAAAAATGAACCAACTGTTAAATAAAATTTACTTTAATGTTTTATTTACTTTTGTATATTACTTTTTTAAATTTTTAATATTTAATTTCTTTATTTTATTTTAAATTGCAATTAAATTTTGGAGCTTAAAGCTATCAAAAAATGGCACTCGAATGACTGAGCACATTGCAAAATGTATAAAATATGGCGATCAAATAAAAAAAAAATATTTGAACGATATGCCTTTTAAACAGAAGAAAGTTCAAACTGAACTAATGATGGAAGAAGATATTCCTGAAAACTTACCTATTCAAGATATGAAAAAAGAGAAAAAAATATGTTTATCATCTGCTATTCCACAAGTTCCAATTTAGTCTTTCTTTCCAACACCAAGCTGTTTTGGAAACCAAAGTACAACCCCTAAGTTTGGAGACTGTAAGGCAAATAAAACCAAATCAGATAAGCCTCCCTTAAAACGATTGTATTCTTCAACAAGAGTTCCATTCACAACTCAGAAAAATAAAATTGCATCCTACATTTTAGGAGAGTACAAGAGTTTAGAGCGACTCTGAAGAATACGGGTTTGACTTTACAATAGAAGACCTTAATGAACAAGAAAGCCAGAATACAGAATCTGTTATTAATTAAAAATAAATCTTTTAAATGATGTGCTATATATTTACCATATATCATATTATTAATATATATTATATTACATTTATAATAAAAATAAAAATTAAATAAAAGTAAATAATTTTTTTTTAATCTAAAAAACAAAAAAACCATAAAAAACACAAAAAACACAAAAAAAACATGTTTTTTTTGAAAAAGAAACACAATTAAAAAAAAACCGTTTTTTTTGCAACTCTATATATATATATATATATATATATATATATATATATATATATATATATATATATATATATATATATATATATATATATATACTCTATATATATATATATATATATATATATATATATATATATATATATATATATATATATATATATATACTCTATATATATATATATATATATATATATATATATATATATATATATATATATATATATATATATATATATATATATATATATATATATATATATATATATATATATATATAACATACAAGTTCGAAAAAACAAGTTTTAAAAAATTATTACTTTAATCTTTATTAATGTCATCTCCATTAACACATTGTGTGAGAAAAGATTCGCAGTGTCTCACGAAGTTTGAAAGATCATGTTCAGTAACGTGCTCACAACCGTTCCTCATTCGTTCTAACAAATCGTTATTTCCGACCGGAGCTATTTTTCTTCTTGTAGTATTCTTAATTTTCGAGAATGTCTCTTCTCAAGGATTTATAAAAAGTGAGTAACCGGGTAAAAAACGAATTTCATAGGGATAACTATCATAAAAATCTGATAATGAATGATGAAACTTAACGTTGTCCATCACCAAGGTAAACTCTTCTTCTTCTCCCAAAATACTTTTAAGCGTATTTAAGAATCCTTTAAAGATTTCTGCTGTCACCCCTACGCCAATTATTGCTTCACAGTGGGCTATGTTTAAACAATTTAATGCTAATATCATAGTTATGTTATGGCCTCTTGATGATAACACACGTTGATTTGGGCTCGTTCTTCGGAGACTATATCCATGGTTTCTTATCATATGAAGATTGAACGGACTTTCATCAATGTAAATAATATTTCTGTAGCGTTGTTGCAAGTTTAAATACCATGAAAAAAATGTTTTTCTTTATTCTTTTACCTCTGCAGTATTGCGTCTTTCACTAATGGGTCTTAATATTTTGTATGTATAATTCAATTTTTTTAACCATTGCCATAATGTAGAGACATTAACATCAAGTTCCAGTTCTACCTTAAACTCCTGTAGATTATAGTTTTTGTTATCTCCAATCAATTCGTGTAGCTTATTTCTTATTTCCTCAGTACAACCTGACTGTCGAAAACCACCTCTAATACCAGGATTGATATTACCTGTTGATAAATATCGATGGACCAGGCGTCTTATTGAAGTCTCACTTCTATGCACGAGTTCCGATACTTAATTCACACTTTTCCCTTCGTTAATTACAAGATTAATGATCAAATTTTTTACTTCAGCATTAATCTCTGAGCATTGTCTTCGTGCGTTATTCATTTTAAATTTTTTAAAAAATTTAAGAGAAAACGGGCTTAAATTGTACATAAGAAAGTTAAATTAAATAAAGCAATAAAAACAAAACTATTTATCATGATAAAGAAAAACCACCAGATTGAATGCAAAAAACCACCAGATTAAATGCAAAAAACCGCGAGATTTAATAAAAAAACCCGCCAGATTAAATGAAAAAAACCGCCAGATTCGTGCAAAAATCCACCAGATTAAATGCAAAAACCGGTAATATTGAGATTTGTTTATTTAGTGAAAAAGTGTTTGGTTAAAGCTTTTTTATTTTAACGAAATATAGAGCTAAAATAATTTTGCGATACATTAAAAATTTATTGGTAAATTAAAAATAATTAAAATTCTTTGTGCCGCATTTACACAAGATAAACCAGTCGCCCGTCTAGAACCGAGAGGCCGTATGTCAATTTTTTGTGTTCCCGAGAAAATCAAGTTTTAAAATTTAATTTGTAAAGACTTTCTCCCAGAATGTCCGATTAATTTTTAAATATTTTAAAAAGTTGTATCATTCTTGAGACTAGATTAATTGGACTCATACTCCATTGGTTGTTGAATATTTATTGATAACAAACATAAAAAACACAAAACGTGGCCATACGGCCTCTTGGTTCTCGGTTGACAAAGTGTTAAATTTTTAAAGGAATGGATCAAAAAGTTAAAAATGTCAAACAAATGTAAAATACGTAATAAAACTCAAATCAAGTTTGGAGCAAGTCGTAACCTTACTTCATATACAGAACCACCCACAGACAGATTAATCAATGTGGTACAGGTACTCGCTAGAACTTAAGTTTCGATTTAAAAAGCAGTAACTCTAAAAGTTTCTATTTTAATGCAATATATCAAATTTAAATAAATTAGTTGGATTTTGTGTGAATTTTAATGTAAAATTCATTTCTTTAACAAAAAAAATTTTTTTAATTTGTAATTTTTCTTATATATACGGAGCCTATAAGAAAATCATCAAGAATAAAATCAGAAATACAATCTTTGGAAGCTTCCAAAGTTTGCTATTAATTTAATTAGATATGATATAGGAAGTTCAATTAAATCGAACTTTATTCGAATTCTTATGCTTGAATTAAATAGGCGTTGATGATAAAATTAATAATAAAACTTTAGTTTTATTATCAATTTTTTCATCAACGTAGATCAAGCATAGAGTTAGATCAAGATCAGAAAGAATCAAGAATTGAAGATCAAGAAGCAGAAGATCCAGGTTCGAGACGAGCTCTGAACATATTAACGCGTCATAATAAGGAAGGAGGCTTTAACTTCCTGGCTAAATGCACTTCCGCAGTGCTCTGTGACAAGACCGTTAGGTCTTCTTGGGGCACCTAAAAATAATAACAATAATAAAATAAAAAAACTTGGATAAAAACCTCACAATAAAGGCCAAAATGAGATTCCCTTTAGATCTTTTTTTAAAACAATTGATGGAGCAAATAAGTGTTTAAATCATTTTGCAGGACCATTAAGAAAAATGGGTACTATTAAAAGTGAGTTTTATTTAGTTGTTACCTTTGATGTTATTAAATTTCGAATTACTGAAATTGTTTTAAAAGTTACTTTTTAGATGATTTAAAGACCAAAGGCTTTTATAAGAATATTACATCGAATTTGCGGCAGGAAATACGAGTGTTTAATACTCAAATTGGAAAGTTAGTCGCCTTAACTATTCTCATTTGTTAACATTAGCAATAAGAGTGATATCACTATATATGTTAGTATTAACCTATATTATATTGATAAGGAAATAGTATAGAAGTTATTATCTGGAAAAAATTTCGATCTTACAAATATTACTTCCCAGTCATAAAGTGTTAAAAAAGTCTGTGAAACTTATTTCCAAGGCTGGTTGTGTTACTTTTGGAAAGGTTATCATAAACATACTGTTACAAAAATTCTAAGCACAAAGCATAAAATTTTATATCTAAATGTTTTTAAAGTGAGACACATAATGATATTCTTAATTAGTTTAAAAATTAGTTTAGTGCTACTTGTATATATTACAAAAAGTAAAAGAAAATTTAAAAGACCTCAAAGATAATGAGTGTTTATAACAAGCGGGACAGATTTATTCGCCTCAATCTGAAATCGAGAAAGACTATGTCTAAATTTAGGTACGAGAGAGTATAAAGCCTAAAGACTTAACAAAACACACAATTTCATACTCTTAATTTTGAATATTAATTTCTTAATTCTTATAATAGTATGCAAATGTGCAACAATTCAGATTTATGTTTAATAAATGTTAGTGTCAAATTTTGCCTAGTTATTAACCATACATATATGCAACATTTGCTCAATACCACAAAGTGCTGTAACACTTACAAAAAATTTCATAAATAAATAAATAAGTTTTATGAAACTTTATGTCCCTTGCCAGAGCAGAAGGCATTATCCTAAAGAGCTGAAATTTTGGGCAGAAGTTACTTATATATAGATGCAACTATCTATATATAAGTAACTTTTTCCGGTCTACCCTAAAAAGGTAATAAAAAATTTGCCCTTTTCGGGGCCCCTCTTGAATAATATGATGATTAGATATCCTCTTTACTCTTGAAATTCAAATAAAGAACTCAAAAAACTGAGCAGATATTTTTTGGAAAACATTTGTTTATCTAAACAATATATTACATATTATTTGTGCAAAATTTTATTTGTTGTCTATATATAAATATATTAAAAATGCTCTAGTTAATATAAGTAATAAGATTATTTTTTAGTAAATAACTAAAATATTAATAATAGTAATAATAATAATAATAATAATAATAATAAATATGGAGAATTAAAAAAATGGGTGTGACGAAGAGAGATTTAAAAAAAAAAAAAAAAAGAAAGAACCTAAATTGCAAATTAAGAGATATTACTTTTTTTTTTACCACCTTAATGTACAATGTATGTGTAACATGAAAAAAATAAGCCATGATGAAATCATTTTGCAACATGAATTTTTGAATTAGCATGTTTTTTTCTAAAGTACTCTAAATACTCAATTTCCGTCATGAGTAACTTTTTGCAAAAATAGTGGTTCCAACGCGTTGCCTGTTTGTTCAAGATATTTACTACGTTTGTTTGCGTTGGAGGTTCTTTGCCCGATCCTTCATTGTTAAAATATTTTTTGTATAAAGTTGTTTTTATTCTTAGGTCATTAAGATCTGTTTTTTCTTCGGCCTTTTCTATTTCATAATTATTATTAATGTCAGTATGTTGAGAATTTAGAGTTTTGTCAGAGATTAAGTTATTCTTTTTTATAACTTCATCTTTCTGTCTTTTATTTGAAATTAAATTTTCTTTGTTGCTAATTATCTCAGTTTTGTTTTGCGCATCTAGTTCGCTAATGTTAGGATTATTTATTGATCTACTTTGAAGCTCAATATTACGGCTTTTAAAATATGGAATGTTTAGGATGTTCTTAAGACGTATTTTTTTACGGTTTAATTTCCTTTGAAGTTTACTAAAAGTTTTACGATTTTCGAAATTCAAAAATGTATCTCCGTTATTTGCTTCCCTGTTATTCACTTCAAAATAATAATTACTTGGTTGTTTTTCGGACGGAATCTCTTCGAGAATAAACTGATTGTTTGTAATAGTGTCTCCAACACAATCTAGCTCAATCTGCTTTAATGTATCTTTAAATTGTTTAAGCTCTTTTTGAAAATCTTCACCTTCAAACCGTATCTCTTCCCATAAAGTCCGGTTAAAAAATTCGTACAGAGACGCGTCCGCTTTATTCCAAGACATGATCATCTCTGATAACTCGTCGCTTACAGCTATTCGATTTTTAGTGTTTTGGTTTTTATGTTGGAATCTTAGATAAAGTATATCATCCAATTGCCAACAGAGTTTTCGTTTTAACATCACCAGACTTTCGTCCAAGTATTCATAGATTAACACTAAAGTAAACTTTTCGTAAAGTTCTTGTATTGTACTTTTTATAACGTTTTTTTTATGATAGTCAGTGGTGGCAAGTCCCAGGTCAAAAAACTGACCGTTTTTAATGAGATTTAATGAATCCTAAAATATAGATAACTTTAGGTAATTGCTTTACAATTAAAAGTTATTTTAAATAATTACAATGGTTAAAAGAAAATTATTTTGTTTTAAATTATCTTATGATAATTGTCGTATGAAATAAAAAAATAAAAAAAAAAATAAAAAAAATTTAGAACACTTTAAAAAAAAAACATATACCTTGAACCTGTTTTTTTGAATCACGCCTTGTATATACATCTTTGGATTTTTTAAAAACATCTTTAACTGGTCCTCCTTTTCTTCAATCTCTAAAAGCGCGCCAAATTCTAAATTATTGAATGTAGTTTCCAGCTGCCGTACTGGATCGCGAATAATTGTGATATACACCGAGTTTGGGTTAAGTATATTGTCCATAACGTCATTATTATAACGGGCATGATTTGCTATAATGTTCGGAAGCGAACCATTTAAAAGTGTTATATCTATATATTTCCACTGGAATCTCAATGGCCAAAAAAATGTAGATAAGCCATCAGTGGGCAAAGCGACGTTTAAGTTATTAAGATCGCCGTATCTGTTAAGAATATTTGTTATGACATCGCTTCCAGTGTAATGGGTTTTTAAAAACGCCACATCTTGTAACGGCTTTTTACATTTTTGTTGCCTTAAAAAAATAACAATCAAAAATTTTTCATGTAGGTATTTAACAAATATAGTTGTCAAAAATCTATATTAACTTTTGGTATATTATGCAATGCTTTTGAAGATTTGTGAAAAATAAAAATAAATATAAAGCATATATATATATATATATATATATATATATATATATATATATATATATATATATATATATATATATATATATATATATATACAAAATTACAAAATGTGGATATATACCTTGGAAGAATCGGTAATTGATTTCCATTATTGATAAAATTTTCGTACCAAAATATATAGTCATCAACCCCCTCAACTTCTAAGTCTTCTCTACCAAAGTCAATCATATTTTTTCTTGGCGACTTCATTTTTAACTTTTTGCTATGTTGCAAAACATTGTGTGATTTATAAACTTTGATCCTTGTTCTTTCAGCAATAATCTTGATTTGTTCCGCTCTATAAACGCTAAAATATTAGAAAACAAGAACCATTTGTAAAGCGAAGTTAATAAAATTGGCCAACAGCAATTAGCGAATGATTAACAAGGGCTTTTAATCAAAGTATAGCAAAGAATTATAGTAAACAATAAATCTGTAATATATTTAAGAATAAAAGCCAAAAAACTTTTTACTAAATGCAAACCAATTAGTTTTGTTTTTGTAATATATGATTTTTTCTATTTGTTTAAATTTAAACTAAATTTATTTAACGACTAAATGGGGCTTAATGATAAGATTTGGGTTTTAACGATAAGACTAAATTTGTCTTCTTCTAGCCCCGGTCATGTAATTATTTTTTTATTATCATGTAATTATTTTTAATTACATGATAATAAAAAAAATTACTGTAAATTTTTTTTTATCGGCAAAAGTGTAAATAAAAAAAAAAGACTAATAATTAATAAGTATCATGATTAAAAATTGGTCTGTGTTCAGGGTCGACGACACGGTTGTCGAAGTTGGCAAAAGTAGAGTTTTTAAAAATGGGTTCTCATTATCTTGAAATTTCTAAAAAATAAAAAATTTAAAAAAAGGTAGACGTGCGCCTATGTGACCAGCAGCACGTTTAGTCTGGTATAAATAACCTACCTACGTCTCGATCGATCGAGGTCTCAATTCAAAGTCTCGATTGAGGCCTCAATTCTAGGTCTTGATCATTTAAGATTTCAATTAATTGACAGCGATCCACCATGTCAAAGAAAACGGATAGTTCAGTCAAAATTAGAAGTGATACTGTAACCAAGAAGATAAGAGACAAATAATAAACTTTTATGACTTTTGTTAAACAACATAAAAATTCAAGTGATAAGAAAACGAGTCAATGTATACAGAAAGCTCAAGATTTCATTATGCCTATGACAAGCAGCGTCTGGAACATCAGAATAAATGATATGACATACCAGCAGAAATTGGAAGAGTTGTTCGGCGTTTTAATGACAGATGCAGACAAGGCATTCAGTAAACAGGAAAAAGCATGCAGAAATCTGCAGTATAAACATATCTCCTTTTAGGAACATGTCTCCTTGAAATTGTGGATCTGGATTGCGCATCTTATACGCTTATATATTTATATTATATTTTAATATAAATAAAAAATACCTTATTGATATTATTTAAATACATAATTGATTAGGTTTTGTTTTTAATTGCTTTGGGTGGATTGTTAAAATAGCGCCCAAAGCAATTAAAAACAAAATAGTTAAATTAGATAACAAATAAAACTTTATTCTGGAAAATTCAATATGGTGTATATTATAATTGATGAACTAGGATGTTCACTCGTAACGTAATAATACCAGAATATGTGACACCAAGCAGAGAATAGGAGTTTTGACCTATCAGCTTGAAATAAAACATTGACTTCTTCGTCAACTACAATAAACACTCGTGGTTATATCGCCATAACAAAGTTACTCTCACCAAGGCATGTAAGTCACTCCGTATCCTTATACACAAAATACAAAGGCTGGGTGGATCATCAAAACATTGAACATTGCGGGTTAAGAGGTTTTATTTTTATTTGCTAGGGTGGATTGTTGAAATCGCGCCTGAAATCAAACAGCGACAACAAATAAAACATTATTATGGAAAACTCAGTATGGTAAATCTTACAATTGACGAACTAGGATGTTCCACTTGTAACGTAATAAAACCCGAAAATGAACTCTTGAACAACAACTCGTCTTGTAAAAAGTGATGACATGTGAATGTTTGTTCATTTGAATGATGACAGGCTGTTTTGATTAAATATGAAGTATAATTTAAAATAGGCTTATAGAGCTGGTTATACAGAATCATCCGTTATAGTTTAGTCGTTAAGTGCCGTTAAACGACTAAACTATAACGGTAATGTATATATTTCAAAACACGAATAAATTTAAAGGAGAAAAGCATTTATAAAGCAAAGACTGCACAGAAATTTAAAAAAAGATAGATTTAAAAAAAATAAGCAAAAAGATTCAAGAGCGACTAAAAGTAAAACTATGAAAAGGTGAACACTATTCGTAGACAATCGTTACCCTACCTTGGATAAGTGAAGGCTAGCGATGGTGTCTTGATAAAAGCACTCATTTTAGGCTGATATTAACTGCATCTATCTTGTGATATCATTTAAGGCAAAAATTTAGGAGGTGAATAGAAAAACTCTGTTAACCGGCCTCTTCACCGAATCTTCATGTATTAGATTGGCGTAAATGTAAACCTGCATTACATTGTTTCTTGTCCAGGATGATGAACGCTAGAACTTTTTGACTCTACTTATGTGTTTTTGTTTGTATCTTCTTTTTAGTGGCTATGCAAATCTTCCTTTTATCTTCTGATTATATTACAGCTCCAATATTCAGTTTAATGAATCTGAGGCCTGTTGGTAATAAGGTTTCCTGAACTCTTTAGTAGCTCAAAGAGACTAATTCCATCAATGGCTGTAAAGTATTAGAGTATTAAAAGTGTCGTGTTTTGCATGAATGGTGTTTGTGTTAGTGCTTTTAATGTACATTACAAAGGCAATATAAAAAGCCTTACTTATTAATGCTTTGAGTTAATTAGCGGAACAGAGGCAACTGAATTGCTCATTGCTTAGCAATTGCGTTGTTTATTGCTTAGGGTGTCATGCATTATCTATGATAAAGTCAAGTTTTCTGAAAGTTTAAAACATGATTAAAGTACCTAAAAATAATACACATAAAAAATTATAGTACCAACCTAACCTAATGTACCTCTCTTACGACTAATCCTGTTTCACTAAAGCTAATAAGTTTATATTTCTTACTTAGGGTCCAAAGGTATGACATAAAACAGAAACAAATTTAAAACAGCAATAACAATTTAATGAATTTAAGGCAGAATTGAGGTAGCGATTACTGATAAATAGTGATTTACAAAATTAATATTTATAGGTTCTGTCATATAAATATATATTACAGTGAAATAAGTTTATTATTATTCATTTATAATTGAAAAATATTTCAATATATGTTTTGTTTCAATTATCTTGCAATATTTATACAATATTTTTGTATCTTCCTTGAATTTCGCTTTAACCTATAATTCTATGATTTTTGATAAAATACTGTTTGTTTATCGATAAGTTTCTTCCTACCCTTTTAATCTGTATACACTGTTTGTATCTTACAGTATGTTTATATTTATAAGAAGAAAAAAAAAGCTTGAGTGTACCTGTTTGTTAAGTTGTTCCACTGCGGGTATATAAGCCACTCACGAAACTCACTTTTTTTAAAAATTTCTTTTTTTCTGGTTCTTCTCCAAAGAAAATACATAGTTGTGAAACTCCACGCGCATATTACAAGTAGTACGACCATTGTGAGTTGATCCGTCTTTCTTTTTATACGCATAGCATTACAAGCGATGTTTTAAACTGAACATAAGGCATGTCACCCCGTTCATGCGCAAAACCTTGAAAAATAAAAAAATTAATTTCAGCTTAAATTAAACTTTAAAATAATCTATAAATAATTTATCTTAAACTAATTTGATTGTAAAGTAGTTGTTATAAATATAATTTTACAATAGTTTCAAGAGCATATATATATATATATATATATATATATATATATATATATATATATATATATATATATATATATATATATATATATATATATATATATATATATATATATATATACATTCTTGATGATAAGATCATTTGAAGCGCTTAGTGCTAAAAGTACTTAAGTCACAAAAAAAAATGTTTTGAGAAAATCTACTTTGATCAGCCATTTTGAATCCTTACTTTAAAGCGTTAAATCTCTGATCAAAGTAGATTTTCTTAAAACATTTTTTTTTGTGACTTGAGTACTTTTAGCACTTAGCTCTTCATTTGGTCTTTCGCATTCTTTTTAAAGTGTTGCGGTGAATTTATTACTTTTGTAAAACCACTTTAAAATATTTTGTTTTTATCTGTTTACGAATCTTTATCATCTAATCACGAGGTTGTAATATTAAGGAATAAAATAAAATATAATTAGACACATTTTATTATACAGACAACGTAAGCAAAAATAAAGTTTATCCATAAATTAAAAAATTGGAAAACCAAACGTGTTTTACTGTTAACTTTCGAATATTTTAAAAGTTTAACTTAATTATTTTTTTACGCATGTAGTCAAAAATACGTGTATGCGCGCATTGTACGCGTTAAAGCTGATATTGAATTTTTTTTTTAATATCAGCTTTAACTATTTAAAGATGTAGATTTTTTATTTATTTCTTTGTCAAAATTTCTTGCTTTTTGATCGTTCTGAGGCATAGTGCGCTGTTAAAGAAATTAGAGCTTTTTGAAATAAATTTAAATTTTTTTGTTCTTGTTTTGATGAAATCTTACTTGCCAAATATTATAAAAAGTATGTTTGTACAGTGGTACTTTTAAATACATTTTCAGATTATCCAAAAACTTGAGCAGAAGAAACTAAAGAGCCATACAATCGTGTTATTGTGTGTGAAACGAAATTACCAAACGTTGGTGCATTTACGCTTCCAACATTAGGTACATTTGTTTAGAAAGAAACTAAATAAAACTTAGCGACAAATTTATCATTTAAAATTTATTTATTTAAAATTTATGTATTATAATAAAAAGTTATGTCTAAATTATATTTTTCTAAAATATTAGAGGGATAGAATTTAAATGGTTACAACCTTTTTTTATATAGTTTTTGAACAATAACTTGATAAAACTTCAAACCTTTTGACAATTTTAAGTTCAACATGATTGAAAAATGTAAAGATTTTTTTAACGCACTTCAGGATAGAGGCGTATTCGCTATTCGCTAGGGCATAAAACCACGAGAGACTAGTTTACGATTAATGTAAATTTTTTTTGTTAAAATTATTGTTGATATAAATCAATATTGCTTTAAAGGTGATATTTATTAAAATAAATTTAAAAATAATATTTATTTAAATAAATTCTAAATTAGTAGTCGTTGTTAACAAACGGTTGTAATTCTCAGAATAAATAATCCAATAAGTTTCAAAATAGTGGGCATAAAAATTAAGTAAACTTATATGGTTTTGTGGCTACATTGGGTCTAGCAAAAGCCTACTGTTAATCCAAGAAAGAATAATTTTAACACAAAACATACTTTAAAATGAACTTAGTTTGGAAAAAGCATGACGGGAGAAATATAAAAATTCATAAACACACTCAAATTATTTTTTTGCTATTCACAAAAATCGAATATGGGCTCATTACGCCTAGTGACGTTAGAATAACAGGATGCGATCTCTCCATTTGTAATGTTGAGAGAATTTAACAAACCTTGTTATACTCTCTTAAATTCAAAAAAAAAAAAATTAAAAAAAAACCTGCTAAATAAAATAAAATAAAAGATTAAAAATTAAATTTGCTAAATTGTTTGCTTTTATTAAGTAATATAGATTCGCATAAGACATAATTGTATATCGTGAAGTGAGAATTTTAAGGTTCCATTTTCATGTCGAAAAAATTTAACTTTCGTTTTTTATTTATTAAACTGTTTTTGTATTTATATTTATATAATTTTAATGTATTAATGTTACTATCATTATTTATACAAATTTTAAAAAATTTTATTTTTGTTAATTTTAACTTTATTAAATAATATTGGGTTTAACAATAATTTATAAACAAATACTTTAAGAAATTATATTAATCATAACTTTAGATTAATTATAAAATATAAACAACATAAAAACATATATTTTATTAATTTAAACAATAAAATATATGAAACATTCTAATAATTAAAAACCCAAAGTTTAATTTTTTTTCAACATTACAAAAGGGAGAGAACCTGTATTATTCTAAAGGTTTTATAAAGTTGTTAAAGTTATGAAATGAATCAAATTTTCTTAACACAATTTTTTGATCATTTCCTGTTTTAAAACAACGCGTTATTTCCTGTTTCACACAGACGCGTTAAAAATTTGAAAGAAGTTAAAACTTGATATAACAATGCAATTTGCACTACTTTTGGAAAAATTTATGAAAGTATTTTAATGGAACCTTAAATAAAACGTTGTAGTTATTGCTATAATTATTCTGAAAAGCTGAAACTGTTTTCGAAAGCTCGGGAAAAAATTATTAATTTTAAATTTTTTTACGAAATGACGCCATTTAAACGTAAACATCTTAAGCTACAGTTAAACCATTTGTATTAATAAAAATAATTAAACATATTAAAAGCTTTTTAGTTGTTTTTTTTTTATCATTTTACCCCGTAGAAAACCATGTTGCATTTTATATTTCTGTTTTCTGTTGGAGAAAAAACAGTTAATAAAGCTAAATTTAACTTAAAACTCATTTTCTCGTTCCTTGTCAAAGAGCGAGTGTTGGTCAGATACCAATGTATCTGAATCAAGATCTCCTCCTAAATAAGGGTCTTGGTTCGGGTATTGTTAGGCCCTATTCATTCTTATACACATTTTAAACATAAAATTATAAAGAGCTTAAGGAGGTGCTTAACAAACGCACGTGTTTTTCGTGCATTTGTTAAGCACCCCCTTAAGCTCTTTAGAATAGTTTTTACCTTCTCTTAAAGATGCACCAGGTGTCATTAACTTACACATAATTCAGTTTTATTTTATTCGTTTATACCCGTGTAGCGAACAATATTAGCGAAATATTGTAACAGTATGTAAAGTATGTAAACAATATTGCGCCAATATTGTTTGCTACTCGGGTATATATCAATTGTATTTTATTCCTTTGCTTTTTAAAAGATAAAGTTAAAAATGTTATTTAATTTTTTTTTGTTTGTTTGTATAAAAACCAGCATTAATGTGCTATGCTATATACATGCATACATACATTCATACATACATACACACATACATACATACATACATACATACATACATACATACATACATACATACATACATACATACATATATACATACATACATACATACATACATACATACATACATACATACATATATATATATATATATATATATATATATATATATATATATATATATATATATATATATATATATATATATATATATATACATATATACTACTGTGATCAAAAAGTAAGGTGAATTTTTAATTTAAACTTCCCGCCTTATTCGAATAGTCCAATCTTTTTTATTTTTAAGTTGGTAGGAATGTCATTAACATTTGCACCAAATTACATGTCAAACTCATAATTATCTTTTTTTTGTTTACGCTTGTTTCTGAAGTACCAAAAGTGCATTCGGCGATTTTTACGATGTCTAATTTTGTTGAGCAAAGAAGTGCTATTAAATTTTGTTTGCGGAATGATATTTCTGCTGCTGAAACGTATCGAATGTTGCAAAAGGCCTTCGGTGAAGAGACTATGTATTGAAAAAATGTTTACAAGTGGTACAAAGACTTCAAAGAAGGCCGAGAACGTGTTGATGACTTGGAACGCTCTGGACGACCATCAACTTCGATTGATGATCGCCACATCAACAAAATCAAAGAATTGGTGCTTGCAAATCGTCGGTTAACCATTCGAGACCTTGTTGACATGGTTGGAATATCATTTGGGTTGGTGCAAGCGATTTTGAAGGATCATTTGGGCCTCAGAAGACTCAAATCACGTTTGATGTCGAAATTCCTCAATTTGTTTGAAAAAGAGCGTCGCATTAAAACGTGTGAAGCAATGCTTTCTGACTATCAAGACGTCTACAAACAAATTATTACTGGCGATGAGACTTGGGTCTACGCATACGGCCCTGAAACAACCGACCAATTGAGTGAATACCGTGAACAAAGCGAGCCGAGACCGAAGCAACCACGTCAAAGTCGCTCAAAAATCAAAGTCATGTTGACTGTTTTCTTTGATTATTGTGGTGTCGTGCACTACGAATTCCTTCCAACTGGTCAAACTGTCAACAAGGAATATTATTTAAGCGTTTGCAACGTTTGCGTGAAGCTATTCGCAAAAAGAGACCGGAATTATGGGCCAATAACTCTTGGATTTCGCACCACGATAATGCGCCTTCGCACACAGCACTGGTTCTTGGTGAGTTTTTCGCCAAAAACTCTACCCATGTTGCTCCACAACCACCGTATTCGCCCGACTTAGCACCGTGTGACTTCTGGCTGTTCCCAAAGCTCAAGAGACCACTCAGGGGAAATCATTTTGAGTCCATTGAAGAGATCCAACGTGAATCGGCACGCGCATTGAAGGTTATCCCTACCGAGGACTTTTTGGCATATATATATATATATATATATATATATATATATATATATATATATATATATATATATATATATACATATATATATATATATATATATATATATATATATATATATATATATATATATATATATATATATATATATATATATATATATATATGTATATATATATTATAGTGTTGTATTGAACATTATATTTTGGGTGAACATTGTATTGAACATGCAGATTACTGTTACTTAATTGACAGTAGACTACTGTTGATTTATTTTCATAACAATTGTAACCTACTGTCTTGATTTAGAATATTGCTGATAAGAAATGCAAAACAATGCCCATTAAACTTAAACATTTCACTAACATTGTTAGAGCTAAACAAAGATTTTTATTTGAAAAACCTTGTAATTAACAGAACAGAGCACAGCAAGACTAGCAAAAACACACAACTGGTTATCCCCCACTTTCTGGTGAAAATTTTCGCGAATTGTTACTGAACATCAATCCAATCTAAAATTGACTTTGGATTATTATGAAAAAAACACTTTTAAAGTTATTAAAACTCTTTCCTGAACAATTACAAAAAAAATCACAAACGAGGTTTTGCAGCTTTAGTGACGATATATAATATATACAAAAAAATCTGCATCACACAACAAGATTTTTAAAAAAATCTCTAAAATAGTTGTAATGAAGCAGTTGGTGGTTGAAACATTTTCAATAATATTGTTATCATACTAACGGGCGATAAATTTGTTATCATACTAATGGGAAAATCATTTTCCGTTGGTCTCATATCGGTTCGACAAAAAAAAAAAAAGAGACCAAAATTTCCTGTCGCAATCGTCGCCTCAATAACGTTTTCAGTCAACCCTTTGATAATGAGCCGTTTTCCATCCGTTTCCCATAGTCCTCTACTGAAAATCAATATTCTTAAGAAGGATAATTATTAATCCGTGCACATTGAGCAAATACCTATATTTTATTGAACTTAAAGAAATAAATTTTTAAGTATTGAGTGTCTCGGCATTTGACAAAGAATGTCGTTTTTATCAAATTTAATTATTCGATGTAAATATTTGACTTATATAATACAACTGATTGGAAACGGATAAGCTAATTTGATTGATAACTATTGCTCTTTTTCATGAGTTTTTTAATAAAATCAAAAAGGGGGGGGGGGGCAGGGAGCACCTGCCCTCTCTTTTTTTTTAGAAAAACTTTGATATATTTTATTTTAATTTATTTATTTGAGTTTTCATGCTATATTTTTCTATACAATGTTCTTATATCCGAAGATAATGTTGGCTTAGGATAGGAACAGCCACAAATAGTCATTAAGACTTATCCAAAGTAGCGTCCGTTATTGACCAACATTTTTGCGTACCGAAGTACTACTCAAGCGCTGAGTTGGCGGTGGCGGGATTTAAACTCGTATCGTTCGACAGTCCGGGTTTAAACTTTTACTTTGACGCTCTAACCATCTGAGCTATCCCGCTACTAGAACTTTTTTCACAAATTAATGATTGTGCTCCCCACTTTAAAGTCAGCCGTGAAATAACGCAATTAATACTTTTAACTATGACTTATTTTTTAGTTAAATTTATCCAATTTAAAAGTATAAGCTATAGCATTAAAAAATTATAAGCTAGAGCATATACTTTTAAATTGGATAAATTTAACTAAAAAAAATTAGTCATTGTTAAAAATATTAATTGCGTTATTTAAAAATATTGATTGTATATAATAAAAACTTTATTACTTTTTAAAAAATTTTCTTTTAATTGTAACTTATTAGAAGCTAAAAGGCGTTTTTAAAACAGAATTTTCATGATAGTAAATTTTTTTTCAGTAGTCAATAACTTCTAATAAAATTATATTGTATAATATAACGGACAAAATAATATAAACAATTTTTTTCATAATTTTTTATTTATAAATGATAGTTTTCGAGTATACCGCCGACGAAGAAAATGTCGTCACACAGACAGATTTTTTTTTTTTTTTATCTTTATAATGTTGTGATTCTACATGATTGGTACAAAGTAATAATGTTTTTAAAATATATAGTACTAAAAATATATCACAATAGAATACAAAAAATATGATTGTAGGGTATCATTAATATTAAAAGAACGCGGGAAACTTGCAGAAGACCAGATGGTCTTGTCATCAAGAAACCGCTTGTACTTGTAATATTTTTTGTATTTTCGTTTTACAATGTATCTAGTTTCACTAAACACTTCATTTTTTATTAGGTTCACATATAACAAAATGTAGAAATAAAAAAGTTGGTAAATACTGTTTGTGCTACACATAATACACATAAATATATTATTAAGCATAAATATAATTATTATTGACTTATATTGATTTTTTATATTAATATATATTATTGAAGTTTTTTTGGATTTTGTTTTCAATTATAATTTTGGTTTTACTTTCAGTTTTAGTTTAGTGCAAGTTCAAATAATTGCTGATATTTAAAACGAACATTTTTAGTAAGATTTTCAAACAACTTATATTATCTAATTTTTGGATATCAGTTTATTATAGAGATTTCTACTTCCCTTTTATAATGACTGACGATTTTAGTTAAAACTTAGGTAAAGAAGTTATTCTTCAATTTTAAAAACTTAAGAAATATAGATTAATAATAACTATACATTTATTAATTCTTTTTATTCTAACAAATAATAATTTAGCAGCAAATATACAAGTTTTTCTGCTTGAATTTGGCACCTTAAACTCATTTAATAAAAAAAATCTTAAACGCTAAGACATTCTTGCGTTGTCTCAAAGAAAAATCATCTTCGTTAATAACATTGTTATTTAATTCTCGAATATGGAAAACTTTTTTTGTGAGAGCAATCAATTTTAATAAGTTGTTTAACAACTTATGTTCTTGTTTATTTTATTTACCAGTTCTTTGTAGAATGTTATGTAGAATATTATGTCAGAAATACAGTTCATAACTGCGCTTCTGTTTATTTCCGCTAAGGATATGTTATTGTTTTAATTAATGTCATTTAGCTTGTTACCTCAAGTTATAGCAATTATGGTACAAATTACACAATATTTTGAAACGCGAGCGGTAATACTTTTTTTTAACAATGGCAATGAAAGTATAAATGGTTAAATCGAAGGCAAATTATAAATTAATACTAGTAAAAAAAAAAGTAATACAAAAAAGATTATTAACAGATATATGAATTATTTCGATTTTTGTTATTTAAGTAAAAAAGATTTTTTTTCTGTTTCCGAATCTCGTTCATCTGTGTCACCACAGCGGCAGCGTGACATAAATGAAAAAATTCTTACAAAAACAAAACAAATTTTTTTTTGATATAAAAGTGTGGGATTATTTAAAGGATAACTAATTTTTAAACAAAATGTATTTTAGAAAAACAAAATTAGAGAAAGCTGGATATTAGCATATGGTGTGTCAAATATACTTTGCAACTCTTGTTTGCGCCACAAAATTATCTACGTCAAATATGACGTGAGAAACATAATTTATGCTTACAAAATATGTATTCAATATAGCCAATATGAAGCATATAAAAAACAATAAATAAGTGTGATTTATAAACAATATATTGCACTAAAAATATTTTATTTCAACTATGTTGATAAAGTTACTTATAACATAGCACTTTTTATAAATTTAAATGATTGAAATTTATATATTTAACTGATCGAATTTTATATGATTTAAAATTTTGATCAGTCAGATCGATTCTTGCGATCAGTCTGTTCTAAATCAAATAGTTTAGGAAATTCTTTGTTCTTAAATCTTGAAGTTGTTATTTTTATGAAGTATGCAGAAATGTACTTAAATTGATAAATTAAAACTTTCACCGAATTCAACGGAAAAATAAATTTATATTGAAAACTGTTGCATGTATTTAAGTTTTTTGCGATCATGGTTTTTTAAAATACCGCAATAGCTGATGGTCTAGCAGGTACTATATATATATATATATATATATATATATATATATATATATATATATATATATATATATATATATATATATATATATATATATATATATATACAAGGCCGGCGCGATAGGGGGGTGCGGGGTGTGACACCGCCCATCAATGATTTTTAGTCGGCAAATTGGACCCTTAGTCGGCATATTGGACCCTTTTAGACTAGTTAGTCGGCAAATGTTGACCCTTTTGATATAGGTTAGTCGGTAATCTAGACAGTCGGCAAATGTCGTCATGGCAGTCGGCAAACTTTCGAAAACGAGGACCTTTTCGAAAGGTCAGTTTTGATTGATTTATTTTGATTTACAGCTTTTTTAGATATTTAAAAAAGTTGTAAATCATGATTTAAAACTTTTTTCAATATCTTTTTGTTTGAATTTTTTTTATTAATAATTTATTATTGTACTTTTTATACACCTTAAAAAAAGTTTGATAAGAAAAAAATATTTTTAAGAATTTAAGTAAAACAACAACAAAAATAACAAAATAGAAATAAGTGCATTTAAATATTTTTTTACTTTCACTTATTCAGTATAAATTTTGACTTACCCTAATAAAATCTTCGAGTTCGATTTAATAATTTATATACATATATATATATATAAATCTATAAATATTTATATATATTTATTTTCATAAGTGTTTCATTTATTTTCATAGATAAAATTTTACTTTATCTAATTATAATTTTAAAATTGCACAACAAAGAACTTATTTAAAAATAATTTAGTCCCCGCCATATCTAAACAGAAAATGAGAGTTTAACGCAGCCTGTCTACACCCATGAGTAGTTTAAACTTAAGAATTGAGCATGCTGCTACGCACTTGCAATCAGCTCTATTATTTAAAAGTCCTTTGCAAAAAAAATAAATAAATAACCTTAAATTTTGGTGGCCGTGGATAAAAACAAATTTTAACAAATAAAAACTAATATATAAATAAATATAAATATATAAATATATAAATATATAAATAATATAAATATATAAATATATAAATATATAAATATATAAATATATAAATATATAAATATATAAATATATAAATATATAAATATATATGTATATATATATATATATATATATATATATATATATATATATATATATATATATATATATATATATATATATATATATATATATATATATATATATATATATATATATATATAAATTGATCTCAATAAAAAAAACAGCGTATAACTGTTTGTTAAATATATTTTGATATAATAAAATACTAACGATATTTCGCTGACCTATTGTGGTCAACATCATCAGGTAATCAGTCATCAGGGACCAGGGGCTATTTTTATTTTGGAAGCTTTTGTATGTGCCACAGCGTAAAAATGACTAAACAAACCCCATCCCTCCTTAATCTAGCACTGGAAATTAGACAAGACTATATAAATAGAAATTATATTACACTCTATGTTAAATAAAGTTTACCTGAAGTTTACTTCTGATAAAATTAAATTATTTTAAACTTTTGTTCCCAAAAGTTTCTTTTCCAAGAATATAAACAATTTTTTTCATAATATTTTTTTTATAAATGATAGTTTTTGAGTATACCGCGGACGAAGAAAATGTCGCCACACAGACAGATATCTACTTGCCTTTTAAAATGACGATTTTAGTTAAAACTTAGGTAAAGAAGTTATCCTTCATTTTTAAAAACTTAAAAAATATAGATTAATAATAACTATACAGGTATCAATTCTTTTCATTCTAACAAATAATAGTATAGCAGCAAATATACAAGTTTTTCTGCTTGAATTTGACACCTTAAATTCATTTAATAAAAACTTTTTTAAATATTACATGATGACGCTGACCACAATAGGTCAGCGAAATATCGTTAATATATTATTATATCAAAATATATTTAAAAAGTAGTTATACGCTGGCTTTTTTATTGAGATCAATTTATATATTTATAAACATATCTTATAACAACACTTTTAAAGATTATATATATATATATATATATATATATATATATATATATATATATATATATATATATATATATATATATATATATATATATATATATATATATCTTTAGTGTTGACATCGTGTATAAGAGTATATTTTATATTAGTAAGAAAACATCAATTAATAACTTAATAACTTATTATTATAAAATTTCGCTGGATTATGGTTACCAGCATCATCAGCTCGCAAAAAGTTATACAAATTTTTTTTTTTTGTAACGTTAGAAACATTTTAAAATTAACTGACGTCAGCAGAATGGCTTCTTTCTTGTTTACGTAAAAATGTAAAATCAGAGTCCAAAATTTATTTTTTACAAACTGTCCGTTATCTAAATTAATTCCGCCATGTTAAGATGAACATTGGAGCCTCTGTATTTTAAGAGGAGCTTAATGATAAGACTTTGGGGCTTAATGATAAGACTAAATTTTGGGGCTTAATGATAAGGCTAAATTTGTCTTCTTCTAGCCCCGGTCATGTAATTATTTTTTTTATAAGTTACGGACTGTAAATTTTTTTTTTTATCGGCAAAAGTGTAAATAAATAAAAAAAAAAAAAAAGAGCTTCGCGCACTTTTCGATAAATTTTTTTGTTTCAACTTTAATTGATTTTACGTTCCCCCACTTTATTTATTGTGAGCAAAACTTATTATGATGGCTATTGGAGACTGATAATGTTTTCCCTTGTTTAAAATTTTTAGATGTTGCTGAGTTTGAGTCCTAATTTGAAGTTTAGTTTCGACTACGTTTCGCCTACGTATCTCTTTAAGCATTTGCATTCAATCAAATAAGTTTCGGGTTGACTATTATGTGGCAGTTTAGTTTTATTTTTTAACGTTTGTAATGTTCTTAAGTTCTTGGAGTATTACAATAGATTGCGCCATCAAAGCGCAATCTATTGTAATACTCCAGACAAAACACTATATATATATCTTTTATTGCTTAAAATGTTGTGACGTCAAAAATGATCTATTTTACACCATATGATCAAATCTTTTCTTTATATTTGTTATAGAAATAGTTTTTGTTTTATCAACTTACAGAACCAATGTCATTTTTTATAAAAATTTGCGCTACATCCTTTTTGTTTAAAAAAGACAATGAAACGTTTAACGAAAAATAATAAAATAAAAATATATCAACAAAACAGTATCCTTCCTTTTCCATTTTATAACTTTTAAATCTATAAAATTTTGGTAAACGGTAAAAATTAATGTAACTTTGAGTTTTAAAATAACTACAAATATAATAAAAGAAGCCAATTAAGGTATTAAAAAAAACCGGAAAACCAGCAAAATAAATTTAGTTAAAGTGGCAAGAGTTCAACAACCGTTTTTCTTTCAATGAACAACATGGTTCAGTCAATATTTAATGCCCTACCAAGAACATTCAACAGACTTAACGTGGGATTTGAAAAGTTCGATGAGTTGGTGCTAAAGGTTAAAAATCTACCAGTTACAATGCAGATATCTGGACTGCGAATGAATGGCATATTTACCATACACAGTCTTACAAATGTGACATTGTTAAAATGTTTAACAAATTTATCTGAAGTTGTTTATCTTTCTGAAGATAATGAGGCCTCATTGCTCGTTGTTGAGTTTTGTTTTTCGGACATTTGTTGCAATACTTTGGAGGAGTTAAGAAAAAAGAAAAAGGATTTAGCCATTGAGTACTTTGTTTGCACAAAAAATTTTAATGTTGACAATGAGTATTATTATGAAGCAGGTCAGGTTTTTAAATTTGCTCCCCAAAAACTAGGAGTATCATTTAAAAGTGATAAAAAGCGTGGCATCAACGTATTAGTGTACCCTGAAATGAACAAAGTTTTGTTTCCTTTAGATGCAGAAGGTAACTTTAGAAAATGTTTAGAGCCTTCAAATATGACATTAAAGTCTTTATTTTTTTTAAAGTATCCTTTTTATATAACTATATCTAACGAAAAAAATAAAACAATGCAGCAAGTTCAAGGGAAAACTTTATTAGTTATTGAAAAAGTATCTCATTGTTGTTACTTTGCTTCAACAAGATATTTTGGAGAACTAAGTATTCATGCCTTTACATCGAGTCAATGCACACTCGCAAAAGTTTTAGATGACTCCCTAACAGTTGATAAATTAGATGAAAATGAGTTAAAAATTGTGTTAAACTCCTTTTTCATTCCACGAGATGAAAGAATAGCTAAGTTTCATTGCGTTCGAACTTATCAAGAGTTAGGCATAAGCAGACTCTTAGAAGAAATACGTACGGAACTCAAAAATACTCTGTTTACAACTTCGTCACCAGATTATCAAAGCATTTTTAAAGAAAATATATTTGAAAATAGTTATGAAAGCTTACGAAAAACTATGAAAAAAGCTCCGGTGAAGCATTTTCCAAATTTTAAATGTGAACCTTCGCAATATAACTCATTCAAAATGAACAAAAAAAGAGAAAGTCTTTATACTAACCGTAAACCTTCAAACATGTACGTTAATGACTCCCCTCATACTGACGAAATAAAACTGCTTCAAAAAAAAGAACTGATTGTGGAGCTTGATACAGGAGGCTATGTCATTATGCCAATTACAAAAAAATTGACTTCTATAAGTTTTGACGGGGAAAGTTTGTATTATAAAAGCTGCGAAAACCAAGGATATGTTTCTTCAAATTCAATGGAATATTTAAATAAAAATCGACCAACAAACGTTAAAAACAATAATGAACAACACGAATACTCATATATATCACTTGATAACAAACATAATGATCAAATCTCAAACCATAGCATTCTAAATCAAAGTTTTGAAAGCAATGCTGAGTGTTCCAAAGCAATTGATGTTACATATGATTACCCGTACAGCGGTTATCTATCGTTAAAACAGTACTTAACATCACAAAACGAATATAAAAAAGTTTTAGAAAGCATGAGTGTTTCAGAAGTTTGTGCTTTGCTACGATTGTTGTCAATGAGAAACCTCGTAGAAAGCTTCCAAAAATTCTCAATTAATGGTAGAAAATTGGTTTTACTTCACGAGAAAGACTTTATTGCAATGAACACTACAAAGTTTGAAGCTAGAAAACTTTATTGTTATATTAACGGTTGGAGGCCTTGCAATAAAGAGAATGGTTTGGGAACATGGCTAACTAAATCACCGAAGCAATGGTCAGTTTCAGAACTTTCACAATATCTTCTTCACATAAACATGAGATCATTGGTAAGATTTGTAACACGTCATTATGTTGATGGTTATTTGCTTAATGAGATTCTCAAAGATGAAGTTATTTTTTCTTTAATTCCTGAACATAATGTACTCTTAAAACAACAAGACATTGAAAAACTTAAAAAATATTTCGATGAAAACGATGATTTTCCTAAATTTGAATTATTAAGATAAAGTTCATTAGAACGAGTTTTATTGACGCATCGGTAACTTTGCTTGAAAATAGTTTCAGAGCATTTATAGAAATTATTTAAAACACACAATATTTATTCAAGGTGCTGAAAAATTTAACCTTTTATATATTTTTCTCAAGTTTTATTAACAATCATATTTTTGGTATATATATTTTATTATTTATGAGATATAATTAAAAATAAAATGTTTACTTTCTGAGTTTTGTATTGTTTTAAACCTGACTTTTTCTACTAATTGAAGCTAAAGTTCATTGTTTTGAGACATATACTTGTTATTGAAAATTTATTAAATTTTTTTACATACATAAAGTTTAAAA